AGCGCAAGTCCTCCGGCCCGGACAAGATCAAGGCCGAGATGCTGCACCCTGTCGCTCCCGTGGTCGCTCCCTGGCTCCGGGCCATCCTGCTGGCCGCCCTCAAGGCCTCCGTCGTCCCGACCGAGTGGAACACTGTCCTGATCCACCCGGTCTACAAGAACAAGGGTTCGATCCTCGATCCGGCCATGTACCGGCCCATCGGGTTGACCCAGGTCCTCCGCAAGATCGCCGAGCGAGTCCTGCTGCCGTTCCTCACCCGCGAGATCGGCATCATGGACATTGCCCAGGGAGGCTTCCGCCCGGACCGAGGCACCCTCGACCAGGTGTACTCGCTCGACGCTCTTGTCCGCATGAACAAGATCTGCGACGACGAGTACAGCCTGGTCTTCCTCGACATCAAGGCCGCCTACGACACTGTCTGGCGGGAGCGCCTCTGGGACAAGATCGCCGCCCGAGGTGCTGGTCCGGTCGCCGTCGGGGTCCTCAGGGCCATGTTCGACCGCACTCTTGTCCGCGTCGCCAGCAAGGGCCGCACGTCACAGCCTGTGTGGCTGCAGAAGGGTCTCATCCAAGGCTCGGTCCTGAGTCCCCTTCTGTTCAGTGCCCACATTGACGACCTGCCTGGACTGCTCCGAGCCGAGGACGGACTTGTGCTTGCCTCCAGTCGCCACCACCGTCTCCGGGTCAACTCGCTCTGGTTTGCCGACGATGGTGTCCTCATCTGTCCGGCTGGCCGCACCCAGGCCATGCTGGACATCTGTGAGCGTCACAGTGTCGACAATCGCTACCGCTTCTCGCCTCCCAAGTGCGAGGTGCTGTACTCGGCCTGCAACGTCGACCAGCTCCATCCCGCCAAGCTGTACGGCACCGAGCTGCCCAAGGTCCTCCAGTTCCGCTACCTCGGTGTCATGGTCGACATTGACGGATTCCGCCCGGACCTCCAGTTCGACAAGCTCCTCCGCAAGGTCCACATGGTCACCGACACCGTGGTTGGACTTGGCATCACCCTCGGCAAGGTCTCGGCCAAGACCATCACCCAGGTCTACAAGACCTTTGTGCGGCCGACCCTCGAATACGGGATGGCCATGGACATCCCGGACCCGGCTCTGCGCGACCGCCTCGACGACGCCCAGATGACGGCCCTCCGCACCATGTTCCGCGTCGGCCCCGGCACTCCCGTCGGTGCCATGCACCTCAACTGCGGCCTCCCCAAGATGTCCGTCCGTGTCAAGATGCTGGCCCTGCAGAACTGGGCCCGCTGGGACGACCAAGTCTCTGACGGCGACAAGATGCTGTCGATGATCCTGCGCAACAAGATCATTGCGCCCTACCACCCCGACCAGTTCCTCGGCCAAGGAGTCCGAGCCGATCCGCACTGGGCCATGGTGGTCCGCCGACAAGAGGCCGACCACTCCCTCACGGCCACGGAGATCTACCGAGGCAAGACCCGACACCAGCCGCCGCCGCCCGGACCGCCCCGACCCCAGCCCGTCCCGATCAAGACCCTCATCTTCGAGGACCACATGAAGAACGGCTTCGACCGCTCCAAGCAGCTCACCGCCGCCTGCACCCCGTCGACCAAGATGTCGGGACTCTGGGAGGCTCGCGGGTACCAAGGATCCATGGTCATGCTCATGTTCATGGTCCGATGGCGACTCGGTGCTCTCCCAGGCCACTTCAGGTTCGGATACCGCAAGTGCAAGAACCTGGCTCGACACGGATCCGGGATCGACTTGACCAGGACCCACGCACAGCAATGTGTGGATCCGCATCAAGTCCTGGTCCGCAAGGTCGCAGCCCTCAAGACGGCCCACCCGACTTGGGTGGAAAGTGGTATAGCCGGAGTGGGACCAGTGGACAAGCTGCTGGACCTGCTCTCTTTCGATCGCACTCCCCCTCGCACTCGCACCCCTCCCGCACTTGGATCGCTTGCTGCTCATGTACCCGCTCCCCGCACTGCCTTCCGAGCATTCGCACTTGGTGCACACCCAGTACCAGCACCCACTCCCACAACCAGTGTAGTCCCACCCTTGCAGTCTCTCCCTGCACCCTCATCACAGCGTAGTATAGTGCCAGCACTTGTCACTCCACCACCCCGACCTCCCGTCGATCCTGCTATTCCCTTGTGGGAACTGCTTGAAAATGTGTTCACCCGCTTGGTCTCAGACCTTGTGGGCAGCTGAGGCAGCACTAGGCTGCAACAGGAGTAAATAGGCTTGCCTGTGTACTCAACGTGCCGGGGTACCAACCTGTTGGACCTGATGGCTTGTCTTCTTAAATAAAGTTGACTATAGTAACAAAAAAAAAAAAAAAATAAAGTTGACTATAGTAACAAAAAAAAAAAAAATCGTCCAGTCCCGCCGAGCAGCCGAGACCCTGGCCATGAACAAGCTGCACTCCCTCAACGCTTCCGAGGTCGCCAAGTCCCTGGCCGCCATGAAGAAGCGCAAGGAGCTCGACGACGCCTTCCACTTCGACAACTCGGACGAGGCCCTCGAGCGACTTGTGGTCCACTACGGCAAGGTCTCGTCGCACTCCCAGGACACCCCCGGTGCCGCCTTTGACCGGACCGTCGGCCCAAGACCCCTGGACACTGTTCCGCGCCTGCTCCCCGAAGACCGCTCCATTCCCCGCTTGTCGTCGGACGAGGTGGCCGATGCCATCGTCAAGTCCCCAAAGCGCAAGTCTTCCGGCCCGGACAAGATCAAGGCCGAGATGCTGCACCCTGTCGCTCCCGTGGTCGCTCCCTGGCTCCGGGCCATCCTGCTGGCCGCCCTCAAGGCCTCCGTCGTCCCGACCGAGTGGAACACTGTCCTGATCCATCCGGTCTACAAGAACAAGGGTTCGATCCTCGATCCGGCCATGTACCGGCCCATCGGGTTGACCCAGGTCCTCCGCAAGATCGCCGAGCGAGTCCTGCTGCCGTTCCTCACCCGCGAGATCGGCATCATGGACATTGCCCAGGGAGGCTTCCGCCCGGACCGAGGCACCCTCGACCAGGTGTACTCGCTCGACGCTCTTGTCCGCATGAACAAGATCCGCGACGACGAGTACAGCCTGGTCTTCCTCGACATCAAGGCCGCCTACGACACTGTCTGGCGGGAGCGCCTCTGGGACAAGATCGCCACCCGAGGTGCTGGTCCGGTCGCCGTCGGGGTCCTCAGGGCCATGTTCGACCGCACTCTTGTCCGCGTCGCCAGCAAGGGCCGCACGTCGCAGCCTGTGTGGCTGCAGAAGGGTCTCATCCAAGGCTCGGTCCTGAGTCCCCTTCTGTTCAGTGCCCACATTGACGACCTGCCTGGACTGCTCCGAGCCGAGGACGGACTTGTGCTTGCCTCGAGTCGCCACCACCGTCTCCGGGTCAACTCGCTCTGGTTTGCCGATGACGGTGTCCTCATCTGTCCGGCTGGCCGCACCCAGGCCATGCTGGATATCTGCGAACGCCACAGCATCGACAACCGGTACCGCTTCTCGCCTCCCAAGTGCGAGGTGCTGTACTCGGCCTGCAACGTCGACCAGCTCCATCCCGCCAAGCTGTACGGCACCGAGCTGCCCAAGGTCCTCCAGTTCCGCTACCTCGGTGTCATGGTCGACATTGACGGATTCCGCCCGGACCTCCAGTTCGACAAGCTCCTCCGCAAGGTCCACATGGTCACCGACACCGTGGTTGGACTCGGCATCACCCTCGGCAAGGTCTCGGCCAAGACCATCACCCAGGTCTACAAGACCTTTGTGCGGCCGACCCTCGAATACGGGATGGCCATGGACATCCCCGACCCAGCTCTGCGCGACCGCCTCGACGACGCCCAGATGACGGCCCTCCGCACCATGTTCCGCGTCGGCCCCGGCACTCCCGTCGGTGCCATGCACCTCAACTGCGGCCTTCCCAAGATGTCGGTCCGTGTCAAGATGCTGGCCCTCCAGAACTGGGCCCGCTGGGACGACCAAGTCTCTGACGGCGACAAGATGCTGTCGATGATCCTGCGCAACAAGATCATTGCGCCGTACCACCCCGACCAGTTCCTCGGCCAAGGAGTCCGAGCCGATCCGCACTGGGCCATGGTGGTCCGCCGACAAGAGGCCGACCACTCCCTCACGGCCACGGAGATCTACCGAGGCAAGACCCGACACCAGCCGCCGCCGCCCGGACCGCCCCGACCCCAGCCCGTCCCGATCAAGACCCTCATCTTCGAGGACCACATGAAGAACGGCTTCGACCGCTCCAAGCAGCTCACCGCCGCCTGCACCCCGTCGACCAAGATGTCGGGACTCTGGGAGGCTCGCGGGTACCAAGGATCCATGGTCATGCTCATGTTCATGGTCCGATGGCGACTCGGTGCTCTCCCAGGTCACTTCAGGTTTGGATACCGCAAGTGCAAGAACCTGGCTCGACACGGATCCGGGATCGACTTGACCAGGACCCACGCACAGCAATGTGTGGATCCGCATCAAGTCCTGGTCCGCAAGGTCGCAGCCCTCAAGACGGCCCACCCGACTTGGGTGGAAAGTGGTATAGCCGGAGTGGGACCAGTGGACAAGCTGCTGGACCTGCTCTCTTTCGATCGCACTCCCCCTCGCACTCGCACCCCTCCCGCACTTGGATCGCTTGCTGCTCATGTACCCGCTCCCCGCACTGCCTTCCGAGCATTCGCACTTGGTGCACACCCAGTACCAGCACCCACTCCCACAACCAGTGTAGTCCCACCCTTGCAGTCTCTCCCTGCACCCTCATCACAGCGTAGTATAGTGCCAGCACTTGTCACTCCACCACCCCGACCTCCCCTCGATCCTGCTGTTCCCTTGTGGGAACTGCTCGAAAATGTGTTCACCCGCTTGGTCTCAGACCTTGTGGGCAGCTGAGGCAGCACTAGGCTGCAACAGGAGTAAATAGGCTTGCCTGTGTACTCAACGTGCCGGGGTACCAACCTGTTGGACCTGATGGCTTGTCTTCTTGAATAAAGTTGACTATAGTAACAAAAAAAAAAAACCATGTACAGCTGGATTCAGATGGTCACTCGCAAAGATCATGGGATCTCCATCTTCAAAGATGGCAATCGCCGCTTCGCCGAGAACCTCGATTTCGCTCGAGAGCAGACTCATCTCCTCCTCTCCGACATTCGCACTCACTTCTCCGCCACCACAGCGCTTCCTTTCGTTTCCGAGGCCGTCGATACTCTTCGCTCTCTCCTCGACCATACCTCTGGTGAGCTTGCCGATGGAGACTTGCTCTTGAACGAGCAGCAGGTCATCGCCCTGCACAGTGCTGTCATCACGCTCCATCGTGACGAGCTCCCCGACGAGGAACAAGACATCTCTTGCTTCCTGCAGTACACCAAGCACTGCATCGTCAATGGTGTTTCGGCCAGCAAGTCTCAAGCACCAGCAGAGACGCCCGTAGGCTCCACCCCTCGCTTCTTTGCGCGACACTCGACTCCCCTTCGTCTGAAGAGAAAGTCCCCTCCACGTCAGAGTCCCGAGCCCGCTGCCGAGGGTGCCAGAGCTTCGCCCAGCTTCCCTCCTCGATCTCGCCGCCGACTTTCGAGCCCCGATGTCTCTATAGAGGTCGTCATTGAAACCACAGAGCAGCCGAGCACCACGGTCAAGATCGAAGATCGAATGATAATGCTCAGACTCAAGAACCTTTGGCTGCAAAACGAGCTCCTTCGCGAACGCATCAAGACCGAGCGAGTCCTCCGTGAGGAAAAGGTCGCTGCCATCAGACGCGGCGACCCCACAACTTCCTCCTATTAGCTCAATATGATCAATATATCGCACCATTTGGTCCCTTGACTTGATATCTGTCCCTGAGTCGGATGATGTGTCCCTGTTGTGACATGCGCTGGATGGGGGTTTGGATTTTCACTCAAAAGCATAAGCATCCGCCATCGGCCTGCATCCCAACCGGCCCGCCTCACGATATCCAGAAACTTTTGCGAAGACATCCCATACCTCATCTGATACAACTAGACCTTCGACCACAATCCGTGCATCTCCTCGGTGATCACACTCTTCAACAGCATGGTGCGGGCCGTTTATGTCTCGATCTGTCGTCAGCTCACATATACCACATGGATGCTCTCAAGCTGGCCCATCCCAGCGCACAAGCCACTCCTGTGCAGCTTCTGCGTCCGCCTCTTCCACAGCCTGTGGATGATGATGGCGACCCCATGCTGTCCAGAAGCATGAAGAGTGTCAAGAAGCCACCCAAGCACAGCCGGATGGAGAGGAGCTTCCTTCCCCGCCTCCGTGCCGACGGGACCATTGAGGATCGCCGACTGCAGCTCCCCTTCCTCTGCGACACTCGCATCATGCGGACCAAGACCGGTAAATTCTACATCGTGGTCCCGGAGCCACTTGTCCGTCCGGGCGAAAGCCAAGCCCAGGACACGGCCAAGAAAGTCGTCTCTATCGATCCTGGCGTCCGTGACTTCATCACCACATACGATCCTTCCGGCCTTGTCACCGCCTGGGGTGCCTCCAAATCTCACTCGACCAATGGTGGCAGGGACACCAAGAACAGGATGCGTCGAGCAGCCCTCCGCATCCTCGAGCGCATCCGATGCCTTGTCAACGATCTCCACCGCAAGGCAGCCAAGTGGCTCTGCTCGACGTACAACGTCATCTACATCCCCAAGCTCAACCTCCACCAGCTGGCAGCACACTGCTCTGGACGAGTGGTCAATGAGAAGATGGCCATGCTGGCCCACTGTCGCTTTGTCGACACCCTCGTCCACAAGTCCAGGGAGTATGCTGACTGCAGGGTGTGCATTGTTGGGGAGGAGTACACGAGCAAGACATGCACTCGGTGCGGGCACATCAAGCGGGACCTGGGAGCGGCCAAGGTGTACCACTGCAGGGAGTGTGGGTTGATGATAGATCGAGACATCAATGGGGCTCGTAACATTCTGTTGAAGAATGCGAGTACGGATGACGTTCTTGGCGAGGGCATGGTGTAGCCTCACAAACACCCCTTGGACCCGAACTGGCGGTGCTTGGTGCAGCAGGTTGGATCCATAGTGTTGGTATCGATGGAAAACTCAATGGAACGGCAGTTGTATCTGAACTTGGATGACGGGAATGTGGGTTCAATTCCATATTCGATTCCATGTTCGATGAAGGTGGCTATGCATGTGGCAGTGCTTGTACAACATCGATTCCAGCCAGCAAGCCATCGGATCGAGCCAGGCTTGTATGTGTGTGTGTGATGTCAATGGCCAGAGTATGGCTTGCCATTGTTTGGCTTGCTTCGCCACTTCCCTCACTTTCATCTGTCCATCGCCATCACCCACTTGCTTCCATCCTGTCTCCGTCAACATGGCCAGCATGGACGAGCCTGCTTCACCCACGGCATCATCCGCCACCCACCAAATTCAAGCTGAAGCCAGAACAACCTCGTCGATGCCCGACACCATCCACTCCTCACTCGAACACATCCAAGACATCTTCACCATCATCTGTTGCAACGACAGCTTCCAGTTTGCCCTCGATTTGAACACCATCAAGACCCTCCTCCGAGTGTGCAGACGTGTCCGCCCTCTCCTGAGCTACAAGCTGACTCACTTCCAGAGCTGGTGCCAGAAGGCAGGACTGTGTCGTCCCGATGGGTCCCTTAGGTTTGGGCTTACCCCCAGCGACCAGATTGCCCTCTCGCTGCACTTCGAATGTCAAGGCACAGCCGACCGATCCTGGCTCAAAGATCAAGCCATCCGGGGCAATGCAGCCGCATCGTACTTCATGGCATGGAAGCTTAGTATTGAACTCCGTGGTCAGCAGTCGCTGGACCCTTCCGAGTGCGTAGCTCAACAGCAACAAATCTTCCACCTTATGGAAACAGCGGCCAAAGCAAAGCATTCGATGGCTCAATTCCAGCTAGCGTTATGCTATCGTGATGCCTTTGGAGTCAAGCGAGACCAACCTATGGCCATCGAGCTCTATCGAGAGCTTGCGGAACTTGGAATGCCTCAGGCTCAAGTCGCCCTCGGACTATACTACGAATATGGAGAGAGTGTCGATCAAGACTTTGACACAGCCATCGAGTGGTATTCCAAGGCGGCTGCCCAAGGCTATGACTTTGGTCGTCTCCGAATCGGTTTCCTTCGAGGCTGGTTCTCGCTCATCGGCCACGGAGTCAAACAGAGCGACGTCGCTGCCTTCAACCACTGGCAGGAAGTCAGCACCAAGTCTACCGATCCGTTCCTCAAGCCCATCGCCACCCACATGCTTGGTTGGATGCACTACCTCGGCCGAGGAACAGTGCGAGACGATCAGAAGGGCGTCAAGATTATCCGAGAGAACCAATCGGAAATATTCAAGCTCGGAGAGGCCGAGGGCCTTGCATCGCAATGGAATAACATCAAGTCCGAAATACCTGCACATCGCGAGTTCTTCGAGCTGTGCAAGCTGGGATCGAATCGTGACTGGCTGTGCAGACATCTCATGGCTGTGTGTCTGTTTTATGGATTCGGAACCACGCAAAACAGAACAAAGGCAGCAGGAATCCTCGAGCAGCTCGCCAACGAAGGCCACAGCGACAGCCAGTTGTGGATTGGAGATTGCTACTTTGGTGGCAGAGGAGTATCGAGGAACTACGAGAAGGCATTCGAGTGGTACAGCAAGTCGGCCGACCAAGGCAACTCGTATGGGCAGAATATGGTTGGTGTGTGCATTCTCTATGGATACGGAGTCACCAAAGCCTACACCGAGGCGTTCGAGTGGTTCCGCAAGTCGGCCGAACAGGGCAATCGATACGGACAGTCCAATCTCGGCATTTGCTACAAGAACGGTTGGGGTGTCCCCGAGGACATCGACACCGCTGTTTCCTGGTACCGCAAGTCCGCAGACCAAGATCTCGATTGGTCTGTCGATTGCCTTAGAGAACTCGCCAAGTGGCCCTGATCCCAAAGTCCTCTCCTAAACAGTCCAGTGGCGACCCTGAACATTGAAGCAGAACAGCCAAGCAAACCGCACTGCCATCATCCGTTCCAGCCACCAGAGTCCCACAGTATATTTGACAGTAAATACATCTATTATATCGACTAAACAAAGCAGTGCTGTCCCATATCCATCACTGATGTTGATCGACTGAGAACAATATCGAATGACTCGACAACAGCAACTCGACCACCACACTCGATCCTCCCTTTGGAACTGCAACTATTGGAAAGAACGAGAACAATCCGGATCACCCTGTCGCCACATAATACCAGATAAAGCAAGAAGCAAACCACCAGCCTTACTCGTCTCTGAGAGCTTCCATTTCTGACCCCTGGTATTGCTGGCTGGCTCTGGCATTAGGTGTTGGCTTTGCCAACCAGGACATTTTACAATCATCATTGCAGCTCTCTATCCCTTGGGGACCTGTTTGTGGAGGGACGGCGATGTCAAGTTTTGCCGAACTCATCTATTCAGTGACAGTTTGGAATCTGCAGCTCCGACTTCCATGTCCAGACTTGTGCTGGCGTATGCCTGTGGCATTACTTCCTCAGGCTCCTACTGTCGTGCGTGGCGTATCCGAGGGATTGGCGTCTACGACAGACATTCAGTTGCGATGTCATCCAACACCGCCACAACATTCAGCCAGATCGCTGGTCTGTTGTTGAGGATTCGTTCGCGTTTGGCTCGCCATTTGCTCAGTTTTTCCTGGTCGATGGTGGCTGGTCTTGCGGGCACTCGAGCCAGTTTGGGGAGTGCGTCGATTGCAAGGTCGATGTATGTGACGCCTTCGGAGATCCTCGCAGGGTGTACATACTGCTCGAGACGGTTCTTGGCTCGGACACATTCCGACGCATGTTTCCTGTTGACATACACCTTGGGACTATTGGGTCCAGGCTTTATGCACGCTCCGTCAGGTTTGGGAGGGAAGCCTCCGACCCGCCAGAGGAACATTCTTCGGGCTTGAGCGACTGATATCGCTGGTATCCTTGCGGTCAGTCCCGCAGCGTGCGTGGGAGCGTGGGATGCATGGAATCCTGGGTCATTATGAGGTTGGGCCCACTGATGAAACATTCGATGATCGAAACAGGGTGCACCGTTTCATAGAGTGAGCCGGTGTAATTGGAAGTCACAGGGTTTCGTGGTGTAGTTGGTTATCACGTGAGTCTAACACACTCAAGGTCTCCGGTTCGATCCCGGACGAAACCATTCTCTCGCTCCGCTAGCTCAGTTGGTTAGAGCGTGGTGCTAATAACGCCAAGGTCACAGGTTCGATCCCTGTGCGGAGCATTTTTTGCTACCCTTCTCGGTTTACACTCCACTTTTGGTTCTCTCTCATCCCCTCTTTACCCTCATCGCTGTCTTGATGTTCTCCAACACCGTTGCAATATCCAGTTGCATGTGCTTTGCGTCCGTGGATGAGGGCATCGTGCACTTTTGCTTTGTCATTTTCCGTGAACACCTACTGGTGAGCTTTGGCGAATGCCGTCGAGAATAGGGAAGCGAAGGATGCAGGTGGTCGTCATGGGCCATTACAGTTCTGGAGTCTGGGCGAAAGCATCTGATGATCAGTCGAGTCATGGGCTGTCCATCCGGGAAGGCGATACAAGGTGTATTGTCGTTTTCCAACATTCCAGTATGATGCTCAGTCCCGTGTCTGGTCCATGTTCCCTCTGTTGTGGAGGTCTCCTTGAGAATTGGCGATGGGACTCATCTCCATAAACGGTCATTTGTGTAGCGCTGAAAGAGGCGGTGCTGTTGGTCTGTGATCAGTTGTATGGCTTGGTGGTGAAGCTTCGAGGCACATCCCGTTGGAGCTGGGATGGCTTGCGCACTTTCTCAGTCCCTCTCATGCTTTCAGTCACCCCGGGGTGCTCGGCGTCTGACTTGGGATGGAAACCGAACTCTTATTGGTGCAATGCGAACACTTTTGTTACCGATAATCGTTTTCGCTATGCTTTCTTGATGATGCTTACGAGTCGCAGATGTGAACGATGATCGCATCACAATGTTACATCGTGAAGAGTACAATCCGCGGAAGAATCATCATAGCGGCAAAGAAAATAATTTGATTTAACAAGTGATCCGCATTGGTCCAGTGGCTAGGATTTCTCGCTCTCACCGAGACGGCCGGGGTTCGATTCCCCGATGCGGAATATCGGTTCCATAGTGTAGCGGTTAGCACTCAGGATTCTGACTCCTGCAACCCGAGTTCAAATCTCGGTGGGACCTCTATTTTCGTTTTGCCCGTTTCCAATGGCTGTCAAACCGAACTTCCATCGTGCAAATATCCGGCCCCGTGATGCCTTTTCCACCAATACGTAATCCATTCTTCGTTCGCAAGACATTTGCCGTCTGCGTGGTGCTCTCCGTTCTCTTCGTTTTGTGGATCCATGATTCGCTTGATGCTCTTATACTATCGCTCCCTTCATTCCAGTGATTGGAATCAACTCCAGACTTTGATAACGGCGTCGGCTTTGATCCATTGGTATCCAATGAATAGGGGGGTTTGATTCTCCTGCTGATGCTCTGGACAGATCGGCGGCAGCTGCTGTTTCATTCACGAACCAGGCACCGCATCGATCGAGTCGCAGGGTGTTTCTTGGGGTCTACCAAGTGACAACCATTTTGACTCTTTCGTTCTTCTCGGCTTCATCATTTCGCCCCTCACTGTTCCTCCAAGAAGCTTCTCGTTGTCCGTGAGCTCCTCAAGTCTGCTCCTGACACAACGAGGATATCGTACTGTTTCTGTTGATGAAATCAGTAGCCAGTCTCTCAGTCCAGCCATCGTATGGTAAGAGTTCAGGCCATCGGCACACCACGCACTGACGCCAATACTAAAACTACACAGCACACTGCCCACATCAAAGAGCCATCAAATCAAGGGGCAGCGAAGCTCCGGGTGGTCGATAGGTGATGTTTCATTATCATGTTGGATCGGTGAGATACTTGCGACTCTCTGAGCTCTGATGGCGCATCCATCATCATGGGCCTGCGTGGCCTCTGTTCTCACAAGCCAGGAACAGCTCCACGGGCCAGTAAGTGCTCACCCATTCGCCCCCTCACCCTTCAACAAATGTTTTGTCCTTCGCTCTGTTCGCCATCACACTTCTGGATGCTATCGCCTGCATCTCGATATCGATATTGCAGACTCAAGAGCCTTGATCCTTGCATCCCTCTGTAGACCGCTCGTCCAGACTGTGTTTGAGCCGGTGTGGCCGTGGTCTCGAAGAACAGTCTCTATGAATACTCTCAATGAATACTCTCGATGAATAGTCTCGACTCGTAGACTGCCGTGATCAGTGAGCTGCCGTGGTGGCTCGGCTCTGGCTATCATCGGATGCATCCGGACCATGGCCATATATTGCCCTTCCAGCCAAGAGTCAGCGAACCTGATTGCTAAGCAGTCTCAATGCTGTCGCCAGTGCCACCAGATCGGCACACGCTCGCCCGGGCAGTCGACAGGATGGGCCGGCCGCCGACACCTCCCATCGTGAGTGTTGGAGTTTGGCTTTGAGCCGACACGGAGCTTCGGCCCGACACACCCCCTGACGATTCGATCAGATTGGTGACGTAGCTGTCGATGGCACAGAAGAGGTACATGTCCACGGCCCAGATGAAAATGCAGATCACCGTCCCAATGAGGCCCGTGGGATCGTGCTCTGAGTAGACAATGCAGACGATGGCAACCACGATTTCAGCCGCAATCGCAGCAACCAGCGTCAAGCCTTCGCGCTCCAGAGCTTTGATTTTCTCTGCGGACATGTTGGTGGCACCCGAGGGCTGTCCCTTGCTGGTTGTCTGTCTTCCAATCGTGCGGATGGAGAATCTGAGAGAGTAGAGTCGATAAATCATCAAGAGGTGCAGGCACACCAGATTGGCCTCCAGAGCCAGACCGAAGCCGACGCTGTTGGTCCAGAGCTGGGCGAGCGATATGACACCAAAGGTACTCAGGATGAAGCACACATCGTTGGCAATGTAGGCGATCGGCATGATGCCAAGCAGGAAGAGCCAGTTGCTTGTCGGTTCGTTGGTGGTGTTCATGGCCCTCAGGCGCAAGAGGAAAGCCCATCCTGTGGCAGCGGAGCCGACGCCATCGCCAAGTGCATAGAGGAAGTTGACGAGTTGATAGCACACAGGGTTGGAGTAGCAGGGGTCGTAGAGCATCAAGAGATAGCCTGTGCAGCACAGGGCGACGCAGATTATCGCCAGAGCCATCATGGTGTGGATCTGTGGGCCCCGTCGCACGTTGAAGGCCTCCTTCCATTTGACCGACTTGAGTGTGCGAGTGGAGAAACAGATAGTCACGATGCAGACAAAGAAGGTAAAGATCTGAGCGTCTTGAAGGGTCTGGGAATCCATAGCTGGCCGGTTGGTGTCTTGAAACCACTGAGCAAGTTCGAGGCACAGATTGCTCCAGATGCGAGACTCAGTGCAGGATAGGATGGAAATCGCAGTGCGACTGAAGCAAGATATCGTGCGAACGGCATCGGCAGATGGGTAGAATGACCGATGTTGCGTACGAGTTCCCTCGTTCCGGAGCGAGTCTGCGGATGCACATCCACAGTCCACAAGACCTGAGCAACAACATATGAAATCACGGCGCACCGTCAGACAACAGTTGTCCAATCATTTCGTTGTGGGATCACTCTGCGGACTGTCCATCGAATTGCGGTTCGCCGTCCACTACTCGGCGTGATGCTTCCGTTTCCGATTCAGTTTGGAGCCAGGATATTCGATCTCTGCACCAACTCGAATGCATCGGACCCACGGCTGCAAAGATGCTCAGCCCTCGCAGCGAGTGCAGAAGTGAATCGGCGGATCGATCGGATTATATTCAGAATCGATGCTACGAAGGTCCACCACAGGCCAGCCGATTGGTACACTTCCATCAGTGAGCCAGCGGTAAGCCTGGACATCGCAAGAGCTGAATCTGACATGACGTTCACACCAATGAATCATTTGTTTTTAAGCTCACGAGAGTGCACTATCTCGACATATAGGCCATTCTGGGAGTCTGTGATTTTGAAGAGTTCGTCGGGGTGCTCTGCCCTGGGAAGTGTTGGCGGTGTCCTCGCCTTGGGATCTGCTGCTCAGAAGCCCATCTGCCGAGACAGTCACATACGGAATCTCAAAGATATGGGTAGCCGCCTTTGACTGGTCGACGGAAACCTGGTCACGCCGAGCGATCGACATGATCGATGATTTAGTGAGCATGTATTCCCTGGTTGTAGATAGTGGCGCCAAAGATGACACTTACCACTTTGCTTGGGGAGAAGATGAATATGCGTTTGTCCACCACATGGAGGTCAAATATGCCAACGTCGCTCTTGCCACGTTCAAGGTCTCGGCTGTGTCGCGACAGTCTCACTGTCGAGAAAAGCATCGTTGAAATCGCCGAGTCGGTTCGCGATTTTACACTTGATCTGATTTCCATCTGTTCCAGCTTGCTCATGCCCATTATCGCCGAGGGGCCGCTGCTCGAAGTATTGCGAAATGTTCCACCTGATCGAGCGACACAGACTCAATGCTGCAGTCATGCTAGACGGGCACCACCAGGGGAACGAGCGCTATACCAAGCAGAAAGTGGAAGGCCAAGTCGCATCCCGGTTGACACAAAGACGTTCGTGAACACCGCAAAGAGCAGTAGATCATCGTGACGAGGCTGGAAGGATCGACGGAGCACATGGTTAGTCCCGAGCCAAGCCAAATTCTGTGCCGGTCGTGCTGTGGCATAGTGGTCCAGCGACGATCTTCTGTCTCTGCCAACGGCCTACCTCGAGCTTGCCATGATCCACTTGACCTCATAGCTGTCAACAGGATGTGATGTGAGTCTGTGGTCAATCTACTGTCCCAGACTGGTACATTCAATGCAGTTCAACACCAATTGTCATATCTTGTGCATCGTCTTCCTTCAGAAATCGATATGT